CTCCGGTTACCATATAAGTCCTTCTATCAAAACGTTCACAATTCACCGGAAATTGTTGAGGCAACACCGGCTACACATGTGGCACCTAGATGTACAGGCTTTTATACAAATCATAATTTTGGTCCATGTACTTTTAGGAACGATCAATTCTAGTTCTCGTACTTTTTTTAGAGACAAGACTGACTCCCGTTTTACTTCTCACTACTTTCATCGTATTTCCATCCAAAATCCTATAAAAATGCCAAATCAAGATAGGTGGTTCTTACATTTGAAAGTGTGCTCAATCTGATTGACAATTCTATCAAGAGTAATATACTCAACAATGGTATTCTCATTTTAGTTTTGATCAGTATAGCTGTATCTAGGACTACTTTTAGAAAAAAACGTAAATAAATTTTATATATTCTAACCAGAACTTTAACTCACTGTCTAATAGGCAAAGTATTTTCGACAGTTTATTGGAATTCTTCTTACACTTGACTATTAAACGGCTTTAAAAAAAGTTTCTTCACTAATTACTCATGAAAACGTGGACATTTACTATGACAACCTATACATATATCAAGTAAAAATAATGGCCAGCGTCATTCAAGTCTCATTTAGAATAAAAAATGTAAAAAATCATACTTAAAATCTCATCAATCAATGGTACGAGACTAGTATTGTTGCAAAACCAAAATACGGGGACCAAACTTAAACACTTCAACAAGTATAAGGATAAAAAAGTGTAACTTATTTTAGAGGCTCGTACATGTAGGCGTTATGTGTCAGTTGCTGGTGCTTCCGACATATTTTGAACGGAAATTTGATGGAGGGACCACAGAATAATACGGGAACTAAAATCATAACTGAACAAAGTATAAGAACCAAAAGCGAAATCCCCCCGTACTATACGAGCAAAAAAATGTAATTTTCTCCAGAAAAAACAATGATTACAATAGCAAGATTAAGACACTCCACACATATGCAATTTTTTATTATTATTTGGGTAGCTGCATTCATTCTCTAGAGGAATCAAAGTTCTTTTCAAATCTGCTGTATAAGAAGTTGTGCACACTTGCAAAATTTCAGTAAAAATCCTAGTATTAGAGAGGCTGTTGACGAAACTTTATTCAGTAGAAGCGAGTCTCCAAAGAAGATTCATGAGACCGAGGGATTACACATTTAACTTTAGCATATGCAAGAATTGCAGAGCATGATGTAGAACCAGCTTTAGTGACCTGAATCTTGGAAGGTAGTGAGACTAGATAATATGGGAGAGCTGAAAAAGAATGGAAAAGAAATGAAAGAAAGGCATTGAAAAAGATTTGAGAAAGGCAAATGAAAATAAAAGAAAAGAAAAAGAAAGACAGAACAGCGATCGAAATGAATAAAGTAATAGAGAATGGTGGGGATGATGTTAGGGTAAAAGGAGAAAGTGCTAAAAAGCAGAGTGAAGCTGTGCCCATACTCTTCTGACGCTCACATTCTCCAATTATCTTTTCATCTGACCTCAAACTTTGGTGGGGGCCTCCCCAAGTTTTCAATAATTATTCACTCCATCGAACATTTTGCCAGAAGTTGCGATCCTGTTTAAGTTTAATAATCTCTAGAGATGCTTCAAAAAGAATACCCGGATATCATCATGCTTCAAACTCACGTCTTGAGCGAGAAAGACGAACGATGGCTTGAAGTGCGAAGGAGAGTTGTGAAATGTAAACACAAAGCGCGGGGTTGGCATAGCGAGCATGGAACGTGCTGAAGCAGGTGTGTGGATTAGGAATGCAACATAGGTTCAACTCGGCGTACACAACTGAGTACAAATCATTCAATCTTTTCGCCACTCACTTCCGTATGCTCACTGTTTATTAGCATCTTAAAGATAGTATGCATGTATGTATGTAAAAAGAGAGAGAGAAGTAATCCTCTAGAGTTGATCCACTTGGTCAGGGCACGAGGGAAATTTCAATTCAGTTCCTGGAGCTCAACTGTTCAAATCCCGTTAACTGTGTGCCGATTATTCAAGATCAAGCAGCATGCAAAAAAAAATGGACTCAACCGATTCATGGAACTTTGTAAGATAATACATGGGCCATCCCGTTTCTTTGTGTGGTTTTCATTTTTATGGTAAAGAACCTTTACTCGTGCCGCTGGAGACTGTGAAAGAGAAATGACACGAAAATGTGCACTCACAGAACTCTGAAGCATCACCATAATGGGTTGTTTGAAAATGTAGTTAAAGGAAAAAGGGTTAAAGGGTTAAAGGAGCTTTAATGTTACTATCGTTATTTTTTGTTTCACACGAGTGTACTGAGCACATGAACTAAAAGCGATCACAGAAAAGCAGAAAAGAAAGCATCTTGCTGTGCGAATCTAGCCATTGACGGTCCTATACCTTTACAGTCGTAATGATAAGATACTAAGAAGATCATAACATATGAATCATGTGAAAGATGGTAGTAAGTGTGTTTAAGATATTGACCTCAAAGAGTATATGAAGGATGAGGCACTCTCTTTTTCACCATCGGATGTTGATTAAGCATTTTTTGGTATAAATTGCAGAGACAAGGAGAAGTCTCGCCATTTTGCTTGAGCTTTGTTGCATTGCATGACAAAGAGCAGAAGAGGGTACATATTTTTAAGCACCAAACCCTAGAAATATGTATAGTATGCTGGAAGGAAGAAACATAGATTATGCAATACAAAGAGAGTCCAAAAAGTAAAAGTTGGGCTGAAATAGAGTTCTCTATTGGGTTTACTTTAGAGAGGCATGCTTGAAATAGGCAAAAGAAGTGCCGAAAATAACCTCAAAGCTTGAACACAGTTTTGGTAGGTCCCTACCAGCACTTGTTCACCCCCTAATTGAGTTCGATTGAGAAAATTTAGTATTCAATATTTTTTTCCATGAGTGTGTTCGCCAAATTTACTGTTCTTCAAATCGCTTCAGAAGCTCATAAGTAACGACGATTTCTATACCGTAACACCCCCCCAATTAGTAATAAGAAAGACAGTTGTTGAGATGATCTAAATCAATGAGATGGGCCTTTGATACCTATAGACTCGATGGAAGCGTCCGGTAAGAAAGAAGGAGAATTAGCAAGGTGACGAAGAACTTTGTTAAGAGATTGTGAAATTTTGCAAGACTATTGTCAATTATTTGAAAAGTTTAAACTGTTAGATGAATGCGTTATTTGATACTTAAATAACTTCATGGAGATATATCTATGAAACGGATAATTTCCACTCGACCTTCCTCCATTGTGAATGTATGAATGTATATGTAGCGCACACGTGAATCACAAAAGGATTGAGTGTCTGAGCCCCTTTAGTTGATTCGAATTGAATTATCTACTCCATTTCAACTGTTTCCTTTTGAGCACCAGACAGAGGTTTTCCACCAAAATCTATTTCAGTCTTCGTTTCAAGTTTTGCGTGAAAATGGGCTGTTGAGACAAGATGATACAAATAGAAGGGACCGTGAACGCAAATTTTGTGCGAAAGAAAAATCCTAGATGGGATTAACCTACTATCCAAATGATGTAGGACGATAATGCGCAGCAAAATAGGTTAAGTATCGTGGAAAGGAGAGGGAAAATTTATAGCATGCAAAGGAGGAAATCAGGAAACAGATAGAGAGGGGAAAGGGGAAGGAGACGCCAATTCATGGCTGCAAGTAGACTCTATCAATTCATAAGCAAATAACACCAATATTTATCATGTAATCACTGAAAATAGTCTCCTAATCAGACAAACAATAGAAAAGTAACATCATCACCAAAAATTCTAATGAGAAAACTGCAAATTAAGAACAAAAGGAAATCAGATTTAGATGATATCCCGGCATAAATGTGGTCATGCATTACCTAATCAAGTTACATGTCTTTGCCATAATATTCGGTCAAGAGCTCTCGGAATTCTTATGCATACAATATAAAACGGTTGTCTTTTAGTCTGTCATTTGATATTGAACATGTTTAATTAGTTAACCCGCTTCTGCTAATTAAACTTACAATATATCATCGTACAAGCGCCTTTCCTAAAGATAACTATGGTTGCATCAGATAGAATGGAATTGGCCCTCCACCAAGACTTTAACAGGTTATAATGCAAATTACTAATTAACAATGGCTCCATTTAAAAAGGAGGGGAAGACATTTTGGTGAGCAAATGGGAAGTCCTTAGAAGAAAACTATGGATAAAGTTTGGAATCTTGTGACCCAGAATAATTGCTTGTTATGAACACTGGTCGTATAAATAAAGCATACACAAGGCATGTTTGTGGACAAAACATCTTATTGTAATTTACTTGCTCACAAAAATGAGCACAATCATTAGTTTGTTTGGGCGTTTGACACGATTCTTTTCCTTCATGATGGTTTCATGGTTACGGTAATTGGAGGTTGTCATGTTTCAATGAAGCTTGTTTCTACACTATAGTAATCCATGTCCTGTTAGGCATAATTTGGGATTGAGCTCGAGAGTATATAATTGAGTGTCTAATCTTTGGTGATCTTGAAAACTTTTGGCCAATCTCTTTCTATAGACATTAATCACATCGATCAAATCACCGCTTCTCGTCCGGTAAGGCCCATGTAACTAGCTTATTTAGGGTGAAGCCTTGGGATTATATTCTGATCAAGTTAGATGCACTCTTGCCGAAAATGAGTTGTGATTGCATTCTAACTTGTCATGATAAACATGGAGAAGGGTATTGTACAGATCACCACCCTTAATACACTGATAGAGAAAGAGAGAGGAGAGAGAATAAGGTAATTATATAAAGGGCCTCCATCGACAGGTGGGGATGAGAGAGAGAGAGAGAGAGAGAGAGAGAGAGAGAGAGAGAGAGAGAGAGAGAGAGAGAGAGAGTCGATGCCATCATTTCCGTTCGCAGACTGGGTTGAAAGCCTTGGGATTGAAGGCATGGATCTCAATCATGGCATTAGTCCAGCATAATCATCTCCCTGTAATTGCAGTGTGCCAGAAACCAAAGCTGTGTTTGAGAGAGAGAGGGGGTGGGGTGGTCTCGTCAAGCTCACGCTGAGAAACAGATAAAAAGTCTTCCTGAAAAAAACAAACCCCTATAATTAAAGTTGTAGATGGACTACATCTACACTTTCTTTGTTTCTTTCTTTTCAAGTTCCATACTTTACATGAAATCTCTCTGATAGAGTAAAGTGGGAGAGACAGAGAGAGTGGAGGACAAGCATCAAGGGTGTCACCTGAGAGACTGTGTTGATCAGCAAGAGATTCCCCTTACATCTGAGATACTTGTAAGTGTATTAATTACTCATCCTGGGGATTCTCAAGAACTTATTTAAGAAAAAAGAAATTCTTGAAGCCCATGGAATCTGCAAATCTCCATCACCAATACGATCAATTCCAAGATCACCATGCTGGGTCTTCTTCTTCATCTTCTTTAGACAGCCCTTCTTGCTATGGATCAGTTGATAACTCCCATTCTTGGACACCCAACACCAGCTTCTTGTAAGTACACAACCTCTCTCTTTCTCTTTCTCTCTCTCTCACTCTCTCTCTCTCTCACACACACACAAACAACTTTTGGTTAGTGACATCTGTGCCATCATGAAATTGGTACAGCTTAATCTTCTTGGAATGTCTTCCTTTTCTCTCTTTTTTTCCCTTTATTTGATGCAACGATCGAGATTGTATTGGAGAAATTTTTGATAGTGGGGTTCCTACTTCCTTGTTTAGCTTGTGATTCTCAGTAAAAAGAAAAGAACTTTAATACTATTTCTTTGGCATAATGACACTTCTACTCCAAAACAAGCAGTAACACATGCTTCATTTCTGTTCCATTTTCACTTTCTTTTGCATAACAATCCAATCTTAGACAAAATAATTGGGAATTTCTCGGCATGCTAACAAGTTTTAATGATTAGCGAGCGCTTAATGTACTTTGTTTTGGGATGCTTATATGCGCAGGAATGCTGGTGGAAACTTCTCGAACTCCAATGTCATAGTAGCAAACTCTAGAACTGATCCGACTCCGAAACATGGCATCCTCAGTCCTCTTCTCCAAAGTTCCTCGGTCCAAATCGACCTTGGATCTCACTGGACAAGAAACAACTCATCAGTCGAACCGTTCGGCAATAACGTAGACCTCACATACGGTGTCAAGGAAGAGCTCTCGGGCTCTTCAAGATTTACTGACCTGCTCAACAGTACTCAATCTGGCATTGAAGATTTGCATCTATATCACAGCACAAGTCACGTGAAGAACACTGATGAGGAGAGTGATGACTTGAGCGAACTCAGCCAGAAGCTCATGCTCAAGACTTTGACCTCCACTTGCCAAATTAACCTCAACGCGTACTTGCCCGGCCAAGATTTCTTCTATCCAAGCGCTCAACACTATGTTCGGCCAGGGATTTTCAGCCAGATTCATCCAAGCATTGATGTTTCGAATTTGAGTCAGTCGCGGGGTTCGGTGTCAAGCTCCTTGGACATAAATTCTCCAGCATTTGATCTCCTAAACGGAAGATTTAGTGGCAGTATTGCAAACACTACGCAAGGGACTAATCTTGGAATGCATAGAGAAAGCCTTGCTTTTGGCCTTCAACGAATGCGGCAATCAGCGCAACATCACGATCGAGTAAGTCAGTACATATCTCACTTCTTGTGTTTTCTGCCATGCGGAAATAAATTAGCCATGAATTTTCCTTTTTATGTACCGTTTTGTTATACCTAGCATTATTTTACTTTCTTAATGGTTATTTCACATTGTATATGTTAGTATTTATAAAAATCTTGTCGTCCTATGAGGTTCTTGTTAAGTTCATTGTAAATAATAAGTTAGATTGAAAGCCATCAAAATCATCTAACTGACCTCATTTACTTTAAAAAGCTCAAGTGTGGTCCTTTCTTACTGGGCTCTAAATGCAAATAAAGGTTATGCATGTCATACTTTCAGTACTTCTAGCAAAATCAAATGCTCTCTCCATGGAACTGATTGTTACCATCTAAAGCGATTCTGCACTTGGTTAGGTCAAATAAACACTAAATTTGCACGGCATTCTTCCTGCAAAATTGCATGTCCTTTACCAAACTTCAACGAACTAAGAGTATGGATAAAATAACTCATTTGATTACGAATAACATGTTGACAATCTCACCTTCTGACTAAACTAAATAACATACACAGAATGATTGTCGGCGACAGAGCCCGCTTACACCTCTATCATCCTCTCGTGCTGAAAGTCAGCTAAAAGGACTTTTCCCAACCCAAAAGTAAATGGTGACTTTATACTTAAACTACAATAATTGTGTAGCTTGCATAGCTATATACGCACTGCTATATCTGTGTGCATGCATGGATTATCAATGTAAACATCCATAACACTACTCATGAGAAATAAAACTGAAAAGCCTCGATTCTAGGAATCATCATTCACTTACCGCACTTGGGGGAAGCCTTTCGTAGAAAGCAAGCACTGATCACAACGGGATTAATAATTTAGTCCTACTGGCTTCATTGGAAAGAAATAGAAAATTTCACTTCGGTGATGTATGCTATTACACATTGGACAGCCATTTTTTTTTCTTTTTTCCTTTTTTTTTTCTGTTTGGGTCAGAACTACTATGCCCTTTCACTGTATAGAATTGTCAATTCCAGTTACGAATTCGAACGATTTTATCATGCTTTTGCAATTCTTTTAGATGAAGATATCGCCGGCTTTCTCCGCAAAGACAACAGAGGCAAAGAGACCCAGCAGTTCACTGGAGCCTAGCAAGACTAGTGGCCCTCATCATCAGGTTGCTCCCAAGAAAACAAGAGTGGATCAGTCAACAAGAGCTGCTTCTGCACCTTTCAAGGTTTCCAAATTAATGATGGTAGATTTTCCCAATGAGGTTTGTCCGTTTTCATTTCTAGAAAGCTTATACTATTTTGTGCGGCAACAATATGGACCAGGTTAGGAAAGAGAAACTAGGGGACAGGATAGCAGCTCTGCAGCAGTTAGTAGCACCCTTTGGCAAGGTTAGTGTGTACGTTTCTGCTTGTATTTAGATCATTGTGGTGGACCTAGAGAACTCTGAATAGGATTGATCAACAATGCAAATTTTGCCTGAAACTTCACAGATACACATACTTATATGAGTGTGTGTATTGTATCGTACATAACCCGTAAATACTCAGAACAATTTTGCTGGCAAGGGGTCGCTGGTCCTTGCCAGTCGTCTTTACGTATCGTGGCGCCTGATGGCGAAGCAACAGCTGGTAATGTTTGTCTCCACCAAAGTAACAACATATGGGAGGGGTTGTGTGAATCAAAAGTTAATCTAGGTTGTACCAAAGCCATATCTTATTCGACTGCATTCGACATAATTTTTTTTTGAAAAGACGGGAAAATGTTGGCTACATAAAACGATATTCTTTAGAAGAATGAAGTTTTCATTCGGGTTATTATAGCCAACTTGGAGTTGCACAGCAAAGTGCTGCCAAAAGAAAATGAATAAATAATGAGCTAGCCAAAAACACAAAACTGATAAGTAACTCATGAGGAACATATGAAATGAACTGAGTTCCAGCTTCCAAGCGTAGTCAGTTCCCATATGGGCATTCAGACCCGAAAATCTACAAAATTCAAGGGAAAAATTAAGCACAGCACAAGGAAAGGAAAGAGCATATTTGTAGGGCAAGAGCGAGACATACTAGCTCTATTTTTCTATTCGAGTTTTAGCGTGAAACGGCGTGCGTTTTTGGTGCATGTTGGTCGGGGGGATGGAGAATATTTCAGACAGACACAGCATCAGTACTGATGGAGGCTATTGGTTACATCAAATTCCTACAAAACCAGGTTCAGGTACTTACTTCCCCATCCTCTTTCCTCTGTCCACCTTGTCATTCTGTCTTATTCATTTCTTACTCCATTCATCGGAATCAGCGTCCAAGGAGACTTTCCGTGTTGTTTTGCATATTAAGTGGAGACTATTTTCTTTCTCTTCTCTCTCTCTCTCTCAATAAAAAATGTTGGTAGATAAGCTAGGCTGGTCTAGAATGTTACTCTCACAACGTGATGTCTTGTTTATAACTCTCTCTCTCTCTCTCTCTCAACAAATGTTGTAGATAGAGAAACTAGACTGGTCTATAAAGTTCATCCACAAATTGACAGGACATCAAATGGGTATTCCAATATTTTTCACTTTTGTAAAATAACTGGAGAACCAATCTCAAATTGGTAAATTCCAGACTCGCAAAATACCCTATAAATCCAAGAGAGACATGGGCCAAAGTCTAGATAGATGGTTCATACATGGAATTGTTTAAACTTAATGAAGGTCTGGAAAATCGAATCTGTGTCGCGCACCTAATCTACACATATATTTCTATGTCTTAGTCATTAAGCTCACCCATGATGTATATATTTGGTTAAATATATTCGAAGAATCATTCACATATTTAAGTATTGAGTACTTATAATTTTCTATAAGCAAGAGAGGGTTGGGAAAAGGCCGATCAGTCTATTGCAACCTCCACTTCATTGACCCTCTCCACCATGCCGACCCCTCATCATTACAACCTCCGCTTCAACCATGTGCTATCACAATAGCTGGTGGTGGGGTTCGGCAATCTTGGTGATGGTGGATGGGTTGCATGGGCGAGGGACAAGAGGAGAGAGAGCACACATATAGAGAGATGATTTAGGTAATTTCTTTATCTAGCTACACGATTCGGACTGACCTTATTGAATTAAGATCTCTCGGTTTGTCATCCACTTCAACTTACCTCCGAAAGAAGGATCTTGATCTATTCTACCATTTATATATATATATTTTCTAGATGTGAAGTCACATCAGTATCGTGTGTCTAAATTTTATGACCTATATAATGTCATGCCAATGATTTGATGGCGGTTGTACGAAAATGACTCGATTGCATCAATTGCAAATGTTACATGCTACACTGTCCAAAAAATAGAATTGTTCTCTGTTAAATGATTTTCTTAATTAAAAGCTAACCCGACAATTTGTTTTCGTCAGACGCTAAGCGTTCCTTACATGAAGTCTTCCCGCAAGGAGGCCAACCGATCGAGGCAACGGGTAAGACATAAGAAATCAATTCCATTTGTAGATCTTTTATCACTTTGTTAGGAACTTCATCAATTAGCTGTATTCATTCAAGCTTCTCTAGCTAGGTTTTATTCTAATGAACTTTGTCGGCCTATTTAGCTGGTGAATCAAACCATTTCACACCAGACCCTTCATTAATCGTAGCCACATACCAAAATTTCAGGGTCCGAGAGAGGATGAAGATGACGAACAGACAACCCAAAATCTTAAAAGCCGGGGGCTATGTCTCGTGCCGCTATCGTGCATGTCTTATGTCGCCGCCGAGGGAGGCAGCGGAGGTGGCATTTGGCCATCACCTGCCGCCCAATTACCTCAGTAGAGAGACTTCACAAGTTGTTCATCTCCGCTTGGATAGCTTGAGTTAATCATCTAGGTTCTCTCCTCGTCCATCATTTGTGGAGCAAATTTGGTCATTCTGAAATAACCTCGACTTCAGCGGAGACCAAGTTTGATCCATCGATTTTTTTCCCCCTGATGATAATGTAACTTCAGGAATTTTCTTTTTTTTGCCATGCACATTCGGTTCGTGATGAGCAATCATCATCGAAGGGAATCTGAAAATAAATCAACTAGTTTATGACCCGCGCGATTAATGTTTAGATCTGTTCCGTCGCCGATTCTCGGGCTATTTTGCATGAACTATGTCAATCGAATAACATGTGCGCGTTCAACACGTGCGGGATCTGTACCAGGTACATGTGCACATGTGTGCATATGTATGTATTGTAGATGGCATACTTACACAGATACGTATGCTTAAAATGTTGATAGTGAATAGGATGATAAAGTGGTGCCCCGTTCACAATTGTGGCTTATCTTGTCTGAAACTGAATTGAAGATCTAGTTCAATCAATGTTGGCATATAATGCCGATAAGTCAAATAGAACAATGTAGATAATCATGCGAAATTCTGTCTTTTTAGTTGAGTTATTACATGCTTTCTTCATTGGTATAAGAGAAACACTACCTAATCATAGATTTGTTGCAGAAATCATGTTAAGACGAGTTGAATTCCTATCACGCCTTTCGCTATACTATTGTAGACAACTTTCTCATGATCTCTCGAGAAATTTTGTCATAAGCTCTAGTTTCGCTCATCGTGTCAAATCGGAGCAAATCTTGGACAATTTGGCCTGGCCAATATGCTTTAATGCTCTAACCGGATAGGAAGAATGAGAATTTAATCTAGTGTAGAATTGACTCGAGTATCGGAATAATTATCCAAGAAGTCATAAATTTATTGTACGACGATCAATTCGGGAGAATTACCAAAAATGTCATAAACCTATTGCAATTATGCAAATTTAGTCCTAGACTTTTTTTTTGGCCAATTGAGTTATAAACCTTTTACATTTGTGTCATTTTAGTCCATCCGACCAATTTTGTCCAGCCGGCGTTGATGTGGATAATTTTTTATAATATTTTAATATTTATCCAAAATTTTTAATTAATTAATTTTTTAATATTCTTTTCCTTTTTTTTTTCCTTTATTTCTCTTTTTTTTTCTTCCTTCTTCCTCTAGCCGGCGAGACCTTGCTGTCATTGGGCGAACCCCTGCCAGATTCGGCGAGGGTGAGCCTCACTAGGGGCAGACGAGGCTCACCCTCACCAGTGGTCAACCTCGCTGGCCAATGGAAGAAGGAAGGAAAAAAAAGAAAAAGAAAGAAAAGAATAAAAGGAAAATAGATAAATAATTAAAAAATTCGAAAAAATATTATTAAAAATTTTACACATCAGCGCCGACCGTATTATGTCAACATCGATTGTGCCATGTCATTGCCAGCCGGCCAAAATTAGCCGGATGGACTAAAATGGTACAAATGAAAATGTTTATGGCTTAATTGGCAAATAGAAAAAAACAATTTAGGGATAAATTTGCACAATTGCAACGGGTATAAAGACTTTTTTGGTAATTTTTCTTGGCTAATTCAGTTCTAAACTTTTCATTTTTGCCAATTTAGTCTTATACCTTTTGACGACTTTCCAATTTAGTCTTTCTAGCCACTGACGTGGACGTCAGCCATCTTACGTGGCACGGCTGGCGCTAACATGGACAATTTCTACAATTTTTATAAAAATTTCTGAATTTTTTTTATATTATCAAAAGCTTCAACGCTTTGGCCGGTTAGGAAGAATGGGAATTCAATCGAAATTTTCTTCTTTTTTTTTTATTTATTTATCAAAAGCTTCAACCCTTTGGCCTGTTAGGAAGAATGGGAATTCAATCTAGTGTAAATTTGACACGAGCGCCGCATAACCATGAACTGTCAAACGAAAATATCAAAAAGTTATATCATAAGTTTATAATAGGCCACAAAACTCGTCCCAGTTATTGGCTTGTCTACTTAGTCTAGATGTATTTAGGTAGGTGGGCTGTCATTTTAGTTGAAGGCGGACCACAAGTTAGCGAACGATTCTCATCACATATATGTATATGATAGTGAAGGGGCATGAAATTTGAGATTGACCCCAGAGGAAGCAAAACTATTATTATATTGTGTTTGGTGGCGTAATATATTCCTCCATGATTTCAAATGGCAAACCGTACAAAGAGGAGATAATATCTAGTGGATTATCGAATATTCACAAATTGGATGACCATAAGATGATATGCCGTTTTAGAGAACCTAATACATTTATGAAAAAATTCTTGATTGTGAGTTATCAAAAGAAAAAAAAAACATGAGAGTAATTGAGTCACATCTCTCACTAGATTTGCTTTTAAGGGTACACCCATCTTGTGAGCTACTATGAATTAGCTCATTTATATTGTAAGGGTACCTAAATTCTTGCGACCCTAAAATTACCAATCTGACATTTTGGGTTAACGTAGACCCATCAAAATGGGTTTCAAACACATTTATTAACCAAAATATATTGAAATTGGTCATATACGAGTCACCTCACTTTTGACGAGCTTAGTCATAATGGATTTTAAAATGAAAGCCCAAAACAAATGGATTTAAATAGATTACGTTATGAACCTATCTCTAACCTACTTAACTCAACCCACTTCCCATTTCCCCAAAATTTTCCACAGCCTCTTTCTACCTCTCTGTGGTTGGACATAGATGCTCTTCTCACTCGCTCATGGCGAACAATCCAAATGAAGGTCCCGCTGATGAGTTCCTAGAGCATCTCCTCGACCTCCCAAACTTAGCCGCCACGGAGTCCTGCTTGGCTCCATGCGACGATAGTGGCTTGTCCATGACCACGGCCACTCTGATGATGCTCCCAATCGCCTCCAGCGATGGCTCCGGTAACATATCCACCCTCGGCGGCGGGGGATTCCACGAGGCTGTGTTTCCACTAGGCTAAGCTTAGAGCAGAGGAAGGAGGGTTCCTGAAGCTCAAGGAGGCGTCTGGGAGTGGGAAATGGTTCCATGAGGAGGTCCTTGATGGCAGAGCTTCGACTTTTCAAAATATAACTTTGTTGTCAAATTAGATGCTCTGGGGAAATTGTTTCATTCTCATTAAGCTCCATTTGGCAAAATAGAGGTTGAAGAGATGCAAGCCCAACGATTCTTTCTGCTATCTCTTCGGTCTCGCTCTCTCACCCTCACTTGATATCGGAAACTCTTCTGCTTCACGCGCAGGATCTGCTTGAGCTTCTGCCTCACCTTCCGCCCCTCGTCGATCTCCTGCTTGAGCGCGTCCGCCTCCTCGCTCTAGTGCCTAAGTGAGCTTGTTGACCACCTTTGTCGCTCATCCCTCTTCTTGGCCCGGATCGAGGCCTCTGTGGACTCGATTTTTGTTTTGGTTGAAGTTTCTCATCCAAGTCTTCGAGAATCTCTTGGCGGCAAGGTGACACTTGGATCGTCTCCCTCTCCTTGCTCGTCTAGGTTGTCGCCTTCGTTGCTACCATGGCCTCAACAACTGCGGCAGGAACTCCATATGTTGACCCAGTCCACTGCTAGTTGTTCTAACTCGCACCAGAATCAAACATTATCTCTAGCTCGCCCCAAGATCAAAACACAATCGGAATATCCGCATTATAAGCAATTTGAGATTGATTCCAACGTAATCTCCAACTCGCACCAAAATCAGAGCACAATCAAAATATCCGCATAATTAGCAATCCAAGATTATTTCAATATCTCCGTCGGTAGTTACCGATTTTGTTGTTCATAATTATTTTTGAGATTCTTTCTAAAGTGTATATATATAGAAGTCATCACTGACCGTAAAATACACAATTCATATATCAAAAGAAACAATTCTTATATCTTCTATATTCTATGTTTTCTTTTCTGCATCTCTTTTTCTATCTTGGTATCAGAGAAGAAATAAATGTGAAAGCCCATCGATCCAAATATGAGTGACTCAAATTCCTCCTCTCCTGAACCAACTGCCGTTTAACAACTCTAGCCCTGACTACAATTACAAGCACACCCACAACTCCGGCCACTGCTATTTTCGGTCTTATCTCTTCTCCATCCTTCGGAGAACGCCTAGATGGAACAAATTATGTGATTTGGCGCACACGGATCCTACCATATTTTCAAGCCTTTGAGCTAATTCCTATGGTAGATGGCACCGTACCAGCACCATCTATCCACATTTCTCAATCAGTCCCACAAAATCTTGGCAAAACCATACACACTCCCAACTCCGCTTACAAAACCTGGCGCATTCGAGATCAAACAACCCTTGGCTGGATCCTAAATACAGCGACAAGTCCCATAGTAGCACAACTCACCGGTAGGGGTGTGCAAACGGAACCGCCCGAACCGGGAACCGCCCGGACCGGACCGAACCGACACTATTTGGGCGGTTCTAAGGGGTGCCGGTCCGGTTCCCGGTTCCTAAAAGTGGAACCGGTGTCCGGGCGGTCCGGTTCCCGGTTCCAAGGGGGAACCGGACCGACCGGACCGGACCGACATATTTTTTCTTCAAAAAAATTAATAAAATGTAAACTAAATCCTAAGTGAACTTTATTGACATAAATTCTTTTATAAAAATTAGTAAAATGTAAACTAAACTCTAAGTGAACTTCATTGATATAAATTCATTGATAAAAATTAGTAAAATGTGAACTAAACCCTAAGTATTTGACCAAAAAAAAAACTAAATCCTAAGTGACCGGTTCTATTGGACCGGACCGGACCGACGGTCCGGTCCGGTTCCCGGTCCTAGGACCAAACGGTCCGGTCCACGGTTCCCAAAATTGGGAACCGGTTCTCCCGGTCCGGTTCACGGTTCCACTCGGAACCGGATCGGACCGGGAACCGATCACCCCTACTCACCGGTCACAAAACTTCTACATCAGTTTAGTCCTATCTGGCCGATGCATATGCTTCTCAGTCCAGTGCTTGCTCCTCCTCCCTCTGGATGCAACTCCAATCCATGAGAAAAGGCAATAGGAGTGTGACTGAATATATGCAGGAGGCTACCCAAATTGCCGATCAATTACTAGCTATTGGGGAATCTATTTCTGCTAGAGAATACCAAACCCACCTCTTTCGAGGTTTACGTTCGAAATACTCAACTTTGGCCACTGCCCTCTCGGCTATTTCGGCTCATATCCAGTCCTCCACTCTCTCCAGAAATGAGCTACATAGTTTGTTGCCATCTCACGAGGGC